AATAGTTCATTTTGGCTTTTGTTTCCCTTGCCTCTGGAGACATGTTGAGTAAGAAGTTGTTGCAGCCAAGATCAGAGACGTTTTTGCCTACTTTCTCCTCGAGGATTTTGATGGCTTCCTGTCTTACATTGAGGTCTTTCATCCGTTTTGAGTTTATTTTTGTGTCTGGTGTAAGAAAGTGGTCCAGGTTCATTCTTCTGCGTGTCGCTGTCCAGTTTTCCCAGCACCACTTGCTGAAGAGACTGTCTTTATTCCATTGGATATTCTTTCCTGCTTTGTCAAAGATTAGTTGGCCATACATTTGTTGGCCCATTTCTGGGTTCTCTATTCTGTTCCATTGATCTGAGTGTCTGTTCTTGTGCCACTGAGAGAGAGAATCTTATTCAGGCTCCATGCTCAGCCCAGAGCCTGATGCAAGGCTTGATCTTAACAACTGTGAGATCATGACCTGAGCCGAAAGTTGGACACTTAACCAACTCAACTGAGCCACCCAAGCACCCCTTAAGGACATAGTTCTTTTTTAAAATTTTTAAATGTTTATTTATTTATATTGTCTTAATGTTTATTTCTTTTTTTTTTTCAACGTTTATTTATTTTTGGGACAGAGAGAGACAGAGCATGAACGGGGGAGGGTCAGAGAGAGAGGGAGACACAGAATCGGAAACAGGCTCCAGGCTCCGAGCCATCAGCCCAGAGCCTGACGCGGGGCTCGAACTCACAGACCGCAAGATCGTGACCTGGCTGAAGTCGGACGCTTAACCGACTGCGCCACCCAGGCGCCCCTTAATGTTTATTTTTAAGAGGGAGATAGAGCATGAGCAAGGGAGGGGCAGAGAGAGAGAGGGAAACACAGAATCTGAAGCAGGCTCTAGGCTCCAGGCTGTCAGCACAGAGCCCCATGTGGGGCTCGAACCCACGAACCGTGAGACCTGAGCCAAAGGCGGACGCCCAACTGACTGAGCCACTCAGGCGCCCCTGCACGTTTGTTTATTTTTGAGAGACAGACAGCATGAGCAGGGGAGGACAGAGAGAGAGGGAGACACAGAATCTGAAGCAGGCTCCAGGCTCTGAGCTGTCAGTATAGAACCCCACACGGGACTTGAACTCATGAATCATGAGATCATGACCTGAGCCCAAGTTGGATGTTCAACCAAATGAGCCACTCAGGAGCCCCCAAGGAAATAGTTCTTCAAAGCCCACCCTTGCAGCTGGGACCATTCATTTCTTTCTTTTAATTAATTCTTATTATGGCAAAATATACAGAACCTAAAATTTACCATTTTAATCATTTTTTGTTGTTTATTAAAATGTTTATTTTTTTTGTTTTTAATGTTATTTTTGAGAGAGAGCGCGTGCTGGGGAGAGGCAAAGAGGGAGAGGGAGAGAGGATTCGAAGAAGGCTCTGTGCTGACAGCAGACAGCCTGATGCCGGGCTCGAACTCACAAATCGCGAGATCATGACCTGAGCCAAAGTTGGGTGCTCAGCCGACTGAGCCACCCAGGTGCCCCTACCATTTTAACCATTTTGAAGTGTACAGTCCAGTGATGTTAAGGGCATTCGTGTTGGCATACGACCGTCACCACCATCCATCTCTAGAACCTTTGCCATCTTCCCAACGTGATTGTGTTTTTCTGTAGCTAAACTTACCTGTCCTTTTTCCTCCTGTGTCTCTTGTGGTGTTTCTTAGGATGCTTTCTGCCATCTTAAGAGGTTCTCCTAAAAATGTTTTTCTAGTATTTATAGTATTTTATACTAAAATTTTTAACATATCTGAAAATTATTCTATGTAAGGTGGTAGGATGGTTCTTTTTTTATTTTTTTCATTTCAGTACAATTAATGTCCAGTGTTCTATTAGAGCCAGGTGTACAACAGAATGATTCAGCAATTTTATACATGACTTAGCTGCTCATCACGATGAGTGTGCGCTTAATCCCTTCCCTAGTTCACCCATCCCCCCCACCTCCCCTTTGGTAACCATCAGTGTTCTCTGTAGTTCAGTCTCTGCTTTTTTTTTTTTTTTTTTTTTTTTTTTTTTTTTTCTATTTTTTACCGTTCTTATTTATTTTTGAGAGAGACAGAGACAGAGACCGAGCATGAGCAGGATAGGGGCACAGAGAGAGGGAGACACAGATTCGGAAGCAGGCTCCAAGCTGTCAGCACAGAGCCCAACGTGGGGCTCAAACCTGCGAACCGCGAGATCATGACCTGAGCCAAAGTTGGGTGCTCAGCCGACTGAGCCACCCAGGTGCCCCGTCTTTTTTTTCCCCCCTCTGGTTTGTGTCTTTTTTCTTGTTCATTTGTTTTGTTTCTTAAATTCCACATATGAGTGAAATCATACAGTATTTGTACGATCGTTTGTTTCTTTACTCCTGACCGCGAGCACTCCGCTCCCTCTGGGGCCCAGAGAGCTTTCACAGAGCCACTTACCAGAGCCTTAGCATCTGATGTCTTCTCTTTCAAGCCCACGTTGACTTGATAGAAGTGGATTATCTTTGCACTGCCTCCTGGTGTACTGGTCTAATTCACAAGTGATCTTTGTCCGAGACTGTGTAGACACTCCTCCAGCTGGCCGCACCAGGGGCCGTTCCTCCAACCACATTTGCACTAGCTGACTTCTGTGCGGATCGGGTGGGATTTTGATGAGCAGAGTTGGAGGATGTGCGGAGGCAGTCTGAGTGCGTGAGGAGCAGGGGGTGGGCATTGAAGGTGTCCGGCGAAGGCCTGGCGGGAAAGAGCAGGCTGTGTTTGGTGTGGAGCAGTTGCCCGGTGTGGCCAGAGCAAGCAGCCAGGGGGAAGGGAGTGGGGACAGGCTGGGAAGGTGTGGGATGCTTGTGGGGAGGGGGCCGTGTGCAGGCAGGCTTAAAGAAGTGACTTTGAGCAGAAGAGTCTGGATTCACGTCCTGGTGCGGTTGTGTGTTTACTGCATCCGGCAGGGCCGGGGGTGCTGGGAGTGGCCGCTGGCCTGGGGGTCCCAGCTCTGGGACTAGGGGCCAGAGCAGAGGTGGGAGGTGGTTTGGCAGTGGGTCAAGGTTAGGCTTTGCAGGGGTCCAGGGCCCTTTGGGACTATCGTGAGCCAAGCCGGTGGGCTGACCCCGGTTCCTAGAGTCACGTCCATGCCCTCCTTCTGCCAGGTGAGCTTCACCTGACTCCTTTACACGGCATCCTGCAGCTGCGGCCCAGCTTCTCCTACCTGGATAAGGCAGACGCCAAGCACCGAGAGAGGGAGGCGGCCAATGAGGGTGAGCTCTGGCCCCGCAGCCCTGCTGTTAGTGTGGAAAAAACTAGCCCAGGGGTTTGGCTTCTAGGACGCTGAGCAGCACGGCTGCCTCTACCCCCTTGATGCTCTAGCACTCCCCTCCGCAACTGTAACAACCAAAAACATCTTCCCGTGTTTCCCCTTGTCCCTGGGGCGGGGGCAGAATTGCCCCCGGTGAGAACCACTGACTTGTGCAGCTGCCTCCGTCTAGAAGGAGAACTGACACCCCTGCCTGAGGCCTTCCGTGTAGGTGGGGCTGAGAGCCGGGAGTAGGGGCGCCACCGGAGGCTGCAAGCAGGGGCCGCGCTCTCTCCGCTTTCTCTCACAGCAGGAGACTCCTCGCAGGACGAGGCAGAAGAAGATGTGAAGCAGATCACGGTGAGTAGCTCTAGCCCCGAGAAGAGGGAGGGTGCGGCCTGCAGAGGCAGCAGGCTGGCCTCGGAGCTCAGCTGCCCGGAGGCTGCGGGGGCCGGGAGGGTCTCTGTGGAACGTGGGCTCCAGGGGGGAGACAGATACCGAAACCGTGTTTCCTTCAGAGCCTTTTCACTGGTGACTTGGGGGGGATAAGCTGGTCTCTGCCTGGCCTGACTTATCCCAGCAGTAAACAGGATAGCAGCCCTGGGGTTCTGTAGAGTTGGGGACCCAGGGCCCAGAAGGTTCAGTGAGCCCTCAGCCTGTGCCATGAAGCCCAGGTCCTAGTAGAGCAAAAACGCCGCGTTAATTAACCGTGTAATTCTGTCTTTTCAGGGGTGTGCAGGTGCAACGTTTCTCTCTTAATTCTTATTCCTATATCAAACGTTATTGGAAGAATATTGACCTTCCATTTATGGCTTCTGAAGCTTCCTCTCTGTAAGCGTAGTTAGGTTAAAATGAGCATTTAGAGAAGAGTCCTGCACAAATATTGATGCGGATGACACACAAATGTAGCTAAAGTTGTAAGCATTTGCACATCTTTGAAGGACAGGCAGATACTGATGTAACCGGGGGCGGGGAGGGGGGTGGTGCTCACCTGTTCTCAGTAGCTTGGTGAGTGATCTTAGAACGCTCCTTCCCTTCTCTACTCACTGGCCCTTGTTTAACATTAAGGCACTTGTAGGCCCATGTGCCTTAAAGGACCCATACAGAATCCCAGGATCCTGGGGTGCCTGGCTGGCAGTGGAGCGTGCAACTCTTGATCTCAGGGTCAGGAGTTCAAGCCCCAGTTGGCTATGGAGCTTACTTTAAAAAAAAAAAGAATCCCAGGATTCGATAATCCAGCCAATGCCTTTGTGTAGGTGCCCTTCACAGGAGGAGTGAGTCAGGGCTTCGTTCTGTCTGTACTCTAAGCAACCGAAACCCAGATCTACCTAGCATGAGCCCCAAATGGAATGTGTTAGTCCCTGTTACTGAAAAGTTGAGGGGTAGCTTCAGGTGTGGCTGGATTCAGGTGCTCAGACTCTGTCATCAAGACCTGGTTTCTCCATCTCCACCTCCAGGTTCTGCCTGCCTCTTTTGGCCTCTTTCTCAGGCAGGGTGTCTGTCCCCAGTGGTACAGAGTTGTCCCAGCTCCAGGCTCACATCCTCCCAGCTTCCAAGACCCCAGGGGAAAAGAAACTTCTTTCTCATTACTTCTAACTAAAGTCCCAGACTGGACTCGTTGGCTTGGCCAACCCTGAACCAGCCCCTGTGGCTAAGAGGATTTGGTGCTCGGATTGTTCAGGTCTGAGTCACATGCCCACTCCTGTGGCTGGGAACGTGTGTGGGGGTGGGGGGGGGAGAGGGATATTTGCTCTCCCAAACTGAGGGGGAACTGGGCGTTTCCTAAAGGAAAACGGGGGTCCTGTTGCCAGCGGGAGTGGAAATAGAGTGGGTGCCGGCAGGCGGAGGCAAGAAAAAGCTGCTCTGTGGCCCGTGTTGGCGAGTCACAGAGAGGGACGTGGTTGGAGCTGTATTTAAGAGACCTGTGTCAGGAAATGGGGGGGCTGGGGGTGGGAGGTGCCCCAGGTGTGGGGCTCTCCAGCCTCCTGGTGGGCGCGGAGTGCAGCCGGGTTGTGTCCTGGGCCTGAGGCCACCACGCCCCTCCCAGGTGCGGTTCTCCCGTCCTGAGTCAGAGCAGGCCCGCCAGCGCCGTGTGCAGTCGTACGAGTTCCTGCAGAAGAAGCACGCCGAGGAGCCCTGGGTCCACCTGCACTACTACGGCCTGAGGGTGAGCCGGGGGCCCCAGGGCGCTCCTGGGAGCAAAGCCTGGTGCCCAATGTGGCCTCACTGTCGCACCGTGAACTGGTTTCACATTGAGTGGTAGCCCAGGGTGGGAGGATGAAGTCCTATGGGCAGTTTGTCCCTTGATCCAGCCGGTCCACTGAGTGTCCCCAGGGGAGCAGGAGACTGAGAAGTGAGTCTGCTGTTTCTTGGGTCAGGGGTTTCGGCCCCCCAGACTCTGCCAAAGTGTGAGCATCTTACGCACTTTGGGGTGGGGCTGGTGTTTAGTTATGTATTTTTATGCATCACGGGTCCTGAACGGAGGCGCATGATAGAGAACTGGCCATCTCTTCCCTGGGCCAAGTTCACCATGTATTTGCCAAGGGTGCTTTTGACTATACTTGCTTTTTATCTGGTGTGTTGACCTTGAGCCCAATCCTTGAAACTGTTGAGTAAGGGAAACAATTGAATCAAAGCCAAAGACACCAGAGGCTAGGGCTCCCTAACATTTTTCTGGGGAAGGAACAACTCATGATTTCTCTGGAATCTTCTGAAAGATTCGTGTTGACTTCAGAAGCTCTGCTATCTCCTAGTGTGTGACTCTAGGCAAATTACCTAATGAGATAAGTTGAGATATATATGCAGCCATTGGACTAGACCCTGGCACATAGTAGGTGCTCACTGACTGTTAGCTGTTATTTTTATCATTGCTTTTAGTGGTCCTGTGTCACAGACAGGGCCCCTAGGCATGGGTGCTGGGGCTGTTCAGTCACAAAGCTGGAAATGGTTGGTTGAGGCCACACCACAGAGGCCTTGGATGCCATGCTCAGGTGGTTGGATGGCTTTGGGGCCAGACAGTAGGTGGCTGGAGTGGAAGGTGATAGAGGGGTGAAAACTGGAGGGCAGAAGGGCTGGGTGGGGGGTGGCGGAGGGTCCTCCCACCCTGCCCCTCCACCAACAGGACAGCCGCTCTGAGCACGAGCGCCAGTACCTCCTGTGCCAGGGTTCCAGCGGGGTTGAGAACACAGAGCTTGTCAAGTCACCCAGGTGAGGTCCTCCGGTCCATGGTGTTAATCCCTATGGTCTACTGAACCTGTCACTGGCACTAGGAGGGTCCCTCTGATGTGGGGCCTTCCTAGGGACTGTGGTCCCTTCTGTAGTGTGGAGGAGGGACATGGGGAGGGGTCCTTCGTCCTCTGGAGAGGGCCAGGAGAGTGGGTGTGGGAAGAGATGGTTCTCCTTTCTCTACAAGTTTGGGGCGGGTGGGGTGCTAGGGAGTATGGGGATGGATTTCTGTCTGCTTTCCCACCCCCCAGCCCTTCCCTGGGGATGCTTCAGCTTAGGTGCAGTCTGGGTTCACAGGCAGGTGTGGGGCAGGGACAGAGCCCGGGAGCCCCTGACCCTGCCCTCTTCCCTGCAGTGAGTACCTCATGATGCTGATGCCACCCAGCCCAGAGGAGGAGAAGTGAGTAGATTCGGGCCACACGCCATCCTCCCCACCCCAGACCTCCCCCACATCCCGTCCTGTAACCCATCACCTCTGTTTTCATCAGAGATAAACCTGTGGCCCCCAGCAACGTCCTGTCCATGGCCCAGCTGCGTACCCTGCCCCTGGCCGATCAGATCAAGATCCTGATGAAGAATGGTGGGTGGACACCCTTTCCCCTGGGGGGACCCCAGCCCTGCCACCTCCTGGGGAAACAATCTGGGAGAGACTAAGGACTGAGGGGCGAGGCCAGAGGCCCCCACCACCCAGAGTGTGCCCAGCTTTACAGCTCCAGCCTTGTCTGGAAGGAAGGTACTGCAGCAGGCTCCCGCAGCCAGGCTCTGGATCCTGTTCCGCCCTGGCCACTCCCCTGCTGTGTGAGCCTGGGCAGGCACTGACCTTCCTGAGCCTAAGTTTATCTGTAAAAAGGAACTAAGCTCCTAGGGGGCTGAGATGAGGATTCAGAGACGAGGTTTCTATGTGGCTTATACAGAGCCTTGCACATGAACATGAGTTCCGTTCATTTGCTTGCGCTGTTTTGAGGCGTCCTCACCAGGCTCCACACAGTAGGGACTGGTCTCCTTTCTCAGAGGACTTGGAGGGCCAGAACCCTTAGGGCAGATGTGAGCCCTGAACCTCAAGAGCCGAGTCCCAGGACCTGGGCTCTTCTTCTGAGATACCAACTCAGGGGTCTTCAGGGGCCTGAGCAGAGGGGAGCTCCCAGCTCTGCCTGGGGCTGCCAGGGTGCCAGGCCGATGGCTTTCCTGCAAAGGACATGGGGTCATCCCCAGGTTCTTGCCTTTCTGGGCCTCAGTAGTAATAGTCTTCCCCCCTCCCCCTTTAAAAAAATTTTTTTTTAATGTTTTATTTATTTTTGAGAGAGAGAGAGACAGAGTAAGAGTGTGGGAGGGGCAGAGAGAGAAGGAGTCACAGAATCCAAAGCAGGCTCCAGGCTCTGAGCTGTCAGCACAGAGCCCGATGTGGGACTCGAACTCATGAACCACAAGATCATGACCTGAGCTGAAATGGGAAGTCTAACTGACTGAGCCACCCAGGTGCCCCCCCCCCCCTTTTTTTGACTAGTCTCCATGCCCGACATGGGGCTTGAACTCATGACCCTGAGATCAAGAGTAGTGTGTTCTATCCACTGAACCAGCCAGGTGCCTCGTAATAGTTTTACCCTTAAGGAGCACCTTTTGGGGTCTTTCCTGCAGGATTCAGTGAGGTGCAGGGTGTCTGCACATAGCAAGCAGCCAGTGAAGTTGGCTGTTGTTATTACCCACGTCATCAGTGTTATTTACATGCCGGGGTGGTTAACTGAACCTGTAGCTATGTAGACTTGGCAGGGGAGAGGGACGGGCCCGGGCACCCTTCCCTTGTCTGATGTTGTCTGTGTCCTCCTCAGTGAAGGTTATGCCTTTTGCCAACTTGATGAGCCTCCTGGGCCCCTCCATCGACTCTGTGGCTGTTCTGCGTGGCATCCAGAAGGTGGCGATGTTAGTCCAAGGAAACTGGGTGGTGAAGAGGTCAGTCCCTCTGTGACTCTGTGACGGGATCGTGTGATCCATTCAAATTCAATGTTTTGAGTTTAAGCCTACCTTAGTGCTTTCTGTTTGTCCTGCATTTTACATCCATTCTTACCTTCTACTGGATTCTTTTTTTTTTATTTTGTTTCTCCCTGCTAATTTGGAAGTTCTCCTTTCTGGACCTTACACATTTCAGTGTGCATTCATAACTGATGATGGTTTAATGGGTTGTTTGGGTTTTTTTAAGTTTGTTTATTTTGAGAGAGCGCGTGCATGCACATGGAGAAGGGGCAGAGAGAGAGGGAGAGAGAGAATCCTAAACAGGCTCCACACTGTCAGCGTGGAGCCTGATGCAGGCCTCCAACTCATGAACCATGAGGTCATGACCTGAACCGAAATCAAGTCAGACGCTCAACTGACTGAGCCACACAGGCACCCCGATCACAGTTTAATATTAATTGCTGTGTTTTACCCACATCCAGCACAATTCAAAGACCTTAGAATATTTTATATGTATTTTCTTCCCAATTCCCGTGCCGTTGTATTTATATATTTTGATTGTATTTTTTTTAAGTTTATTTTTTCAAGTTTATTTGAGAGAGCGTGCATGGAGGAGGGGCAGAGAGAGAGAGAGAGAGAGAGAGAGAGAGCGAATCCCAGGCAAGCTCCACACTGTTAGCACAGAGCCTGACATGGGGCCTCAAACCCACGAAATTGCAAGATCATGACCTGAGCCAAAACCAAGAGTTGCTTAATTGACTGAGCCACCCAGGCGCCCCTTAATTGTATTTAAAACCCACAAGATATTATTGTATTTAGTCAATATTCTTTAGATCTGCTCACATATTTATTTACCTTTTTATTCTGCTCATCCTGCCTTTCTTCATCTGTTTCTATCTGGGATGATTTCCTTCTCCTAAAAAGTGTGATGGTGTTTAATGAAGGTCTGCAGGTGATGGATTTCCTTGGTTTTGATACAGTTGGAAATAGAAAGGATATTTTTACTGAGTGTAGAATTTGCGGTTGATTGCTTTCCTTCCACATATGGACATAATTTCGTTGTGTTTTCATTCCCATTGTTCCTGGTGACAAGTCCAGTCTTTACCTTAGCTTCTCTCTGGCTCGTTTTAAGATTTTCCCTTGTTTTGGCTTTTTACAGTTCCTTAAGATGTGTCTGAGTCTGAATTTCCTTTCACACATCCTGTGGGGTTCAGAGGTCCTGAATTTGTGGCTTGATGCCTGTCAGTAGTTTCTCTTCTGTGATTCCTCCACCAGACTGTCCGTTTCAAGGGGATAGGGACTCTCCCTCATGTCCTTGGTACTCGGTACAATGCCTGGCACATCTTAGACCCTTGCCAAGTGTGGCTCCCTGAATTAATGTTAAATAGTGTAATGTAAAATTAATTCATACAGGCTCGTTTTTTAGGAAGTGTAGTATAAGGCGAACAATCTATCAAAATGTGAATTGTTCCAATTTTTAAGTCCTCCATTGCAGCAGCTCCCATCATTTCAGTCGGCCAAGTGAATGGTAAAGGTATTCATGTTAATGCCACATGGTGGCGCCCTTGCCCCGGGAAACAGATGCCCGGTCTCTGTCCGTACATTGTGGCCATTGTCTTGTGCCGCACAAGTGTTTGGTTATAGAAGGCCTTCGGATGGCACGTCGCTCATTAAATGGGACAGCCAGGTGTATTTACAGCATGAATGAATGAGAGGACGCTGACCCGGAGAGGCAGAGACTTGCCAAACGTCTGGCAGCAAGGCAGCCACAGAGCTGGGGTTTGAGCTCTCTGCCCGGCACTGCCCGTGGCCCTGATGTTTCTGCCCTTTCAGCCTGAGGCGTGTCCCTGTGACTTGAAGGTAGGGCCCGCTGGGCCATGTGTTCTGTCTGCCCCGGTGCCTCGGGTCCTGCTGCAAGCCCACGCCGCCACACCACGGCCTGTGGGCGATGCTCCTTCTTTGCCCTGTCCTTTTGTGTTCTTGCGAGGAAATGACGCAAAATTCATAAATCGTTCGGTAAATATGGCCGTGCCCTCTGCTCCGCTCTCTTCCTCACACTGTCTCTGTCCTCGGGAGATCTGTGGTGCGGAGGTGGGCTCCATTACAGTTGAGCACAGCGAGTGCAGAGATCCAGGGCATGGACCATGTTCTTCCGCTCATTCAGTACCCTGTACTCTGTGTGGCAGAGGTGATCAACACAAGCCAGGTCCCTGTTCCCTTAGTTATTCTGGGTAGAGAGGAGACACAGAGCTCGATCTCGATGAAGGGGTATTAGTTGGTTGCCAGGTGGAGGGAGGAGGGGAGGAGAGGGGCCTCCCGGCAGAGGCACCGTAGGCACAGGGCGGCCTGGGGAGGTGTGTGTGACACCCCACTGGGGTGTGATGGGGTCTGTGGCTGAACTTGGTCAAGTTATGCTTGTGAGCCTCATGACCCTGCTCTTTCGCCCTGGGCCCTGAAGTTCTCGAAGTTCTCTGAGCTTGACTGCTGGTCCCCTGCTCTTCTCTCCAAAGGCTTTAGCCCCACTCGTGCCTCAGGGCCCAGCCAGGTCCCAGCCCCTGACCCCTCTCACCCCTGCTCACACTGCCCACCCCGCCCCTTCCGGCAGGTGGTAAAGGCCTCGTGTGCTGTTTCACAGCCAGTCTCTTGGCCTCACGCCTGCCGCATGTGGAGGACTCGCTGTCTCCCCGAGTCCTGGGCTGGCCTCTTTCTGAGCCCCTGACTGCTGTGGGCCTCGGGGCTGGGCCAGTGTGTGCACGGAAGGTCGAGAAGGGCAGTGAGGAAGAACTCTTAAGGGGGTGTGCGTAGCAGGGGTGCTTCTTTTCTACATATGTGTTCACAGAGCCAGGCTCCGAGGGTAAAAGGGAGGCCCTGGGAAGCCGTCCGAGCCCGTGTTGGAAAGAGTGCTTGGAGCTGGGGGCTGGCGCTGTGGCAGGTAGAGGGGCTGAGGGATGGGACTGACCTGTGGCTCCTGCTCTCCTTGGCAGCGACATCCTGTACCCCAAGGACTCCTCCAGCCCTCACAGCGGCGTGCCTGCCGAGGTGCTCTGCAGGGGCCGAGACTTTGTCGTAAGTGCTCAGGCTCTCTGGCCTCTGGTCGGTCGGGTAGGGATCATGGCGGGGGGGGGTGGATGCAGGGCTTCCAGGACCTTGGCTCCGGTGGTGGAAAAAGGGCAGGTGTGGCTCTGGACCCTATTTCTTTCTCCTTCAACTCAGAATCCTGGAGTCTGGGGCTTCATAAGAAATCTGAGTTCCTTTGGCCTGGGGATTATAAACCAGAGGCCCATAGGTGGACTCTGGCTAAGAAATAGGTTTCATTTGGCCTGAGCTGTCTGCAGTCTTTTTTTTTTTTTTTTTTTTTTTTTTTTTTTTTTTTTTTTTTTTTTTTTTATGTTGACTTAAATTGATTTTTACAATTCAGAATCACCGTACAAACCGGATTTCTAGTTTAAGAATAATTGGACAGTCTGGGACCACTGGGCCCAAATGCCTGAAGGGCAGCAGCGTTGGGTGGGGCTGACCATCCCGTTCTCCACGGTCCTGGGCACATCTGCTTCTCTCATACGCGTTCCCTGCACTATTGCTGTGGGTTTTTGCTGGCTCGTTCCTCTATTCCATTGCCCTGTCCCACCCCTGCCCTTATCCAGAACTTAAATCCCTGCCACAGCCTCCCTGAGGGCTTGAACCCGGGCCATTGGGCTCAGCACTGCCTCCTTTGGCCTCAGCTTTGTGCTTTGAGTTCAGGGAAATTGGTCTCCTTAGCTTGTGCACGGGGACCGTGATGTGCTCTCGCACAGGCCTGCTCACGCGGGCAGCCCTTAGGCTGCTCTCTCTGGAGAGAGTGCCTGTGTTTTCCTTTCCCTGGTGGGATGTCCCAGTTCCTTTGGACAGTTAGTGTCTGGGTGCCTGTGCAGTTTAGTTTGGTCTCGGGGTCGAAGCACAGGGGTGATCCACTCCCAGGCTTGTTCACAAAGCCCTCAGCCGCCCCTGCCTGTCAGCCTTTCTCTCCCGTGCAGATGCTGTCAGACGGCGCCTGGGAGAAGGTCTGGTCAAGTCTGAGTTCTTGTCGGCGACTGTCTTCCCTGCCCTCTGGCCCCCAGGACAACTGCATGGGTTTGGGGCACAGTCTTAGGAGCGATCTATCTTTGTTTGCCCCCTGGAAACATGCTGCTTTTTCTCCCTCAGATGTGGAAGTTCACACAGAGCCGGTGGGTGGTACGGAAAGAGGTGGCAGCAGTGACTAAAGTAAGTGACGTTCCCCCTCAGAAGCCTGGGCCCTGCAGGGAACGGGGGCCGGGGCGGGCTTTCGGGCCTGCGGGCCTCACTTCTTCCCCTCCCTCAGCTCTGCACGGAGGATGTGAAGGACTTTCTGGAGCACATGGCCGTAGTGAGGATCAACAAAGGCTGGGAGTTCATACTGCCTTACGACGGAGAGTTCATCAAGAAACATCCAGATGTGGTCCAGCGGCAGCACATGCTGTGGTCGGGTATCCAGGCCAAGTAAGGGCTTACTGAGCCGTCCACAGCCACTTCGTCCCCTAGGCCGGGTGTGGGCTGGTGAGAGCATACTGGGGCTGTGTGCACCCCGTCCTGCACGCCGGTGGATGTGGCAGATTGATCCAGACCCCCCCCCGCCGTACAGGCCTGGTACAGCCACCCCTGCCGATCAGAGCTGGCAGGTGTGTTCTTAGGGGTCAGGAAGGAGGGCTGCGTGTGGAGAGCCGGGGTTTGCATGGCCCGAGGCAGCGGGCTGGAGACTGGCCGCAGAAGAGAAGGCTGGGCCACCGCCGCCCACCACAGGGCCGTGCGCGGTGGGGAGGGGCGGCCGGGCTCTGTGTGCACGGCATCCTCGGTCACCAGGATGTCCCTGGCCTCAACAGGGAATGTTGCCGTAGTGAGGCAGATGACCCGGGACGTGGCTTAAAGTTTATTCTTCTTTTCAGATTAGAAAAAGTCTATAATCTCGTGAAGGAAACCTTGCCAAAGAAGCCAGATGGACAATCAGGTGTGCGGGGGGGCTTCAGACTGGGCAGGCCCCTAACCCGCCCCTGGCTCCAGGCGGGCTGCTCTGCTGGGGCTCGTCGGGCCCAGAGAGGGGTGTGTGGCTCTCCCCATCGGTTGGCCTTTCTGTGCTTTTGTCTCCCTTCCCCACAGACCTCAGCTTAAGGCTTGTCCCCCGTTAAATGCTTGGCCTCGGGGACTGAGGGCCTGTGCGCTCTGAGGCTCTCCTAGGTTCTGGGCCCTCTTGGGTCGGCAGGAAGTGGTGGGGGGACAGGAGGAACTGGCAGGGACCGGGAACCCGTCCTGGTTGGGGTCTCCCAACGTGCGATTCTGACTCTCCCCACTTCTCTTTCTTTCCTCTCTGCCGGGGTAGCTCAGTCCCCGCTGGGTGAGGTGGGAGTGAGAGGCTGGGCTGCACTGTTTCCATCCCCTCCCTCTGGGGGACCAGGGGGTGTCCGCAGGCCGAGGGCCCCTCTCTGCCCTGTCCCTACACCCCCCTGAGCAGCGCTGGCCTCTGCCTGCAGGGCCTGCCGGGCTGGTCTCCGGGGACCAGCGCGTCCAGGCGGCCAGAAGCAAGGCCCAGCAGAACCACGCGCTGCTGGAACGGGAGCTGCAGCGGAGGAAGGAGCAGGTGCGGGCGTCCATGGTCCTGCCCGGTGTGCGGATCAAGGAGGAGCCCGTGAGTGAGGAGGGAGAGGAGGAGGAAGAGCAGGAAGCAGAAGACGAGGAGCCCATGGACACCTCTCTCGGTGGCGGCCTCCACAGTAGGCTGGCCAACGGGCTGCCTGGCGGGCGGGCGGCGGGCGGGGACAGCTTCAACGGGCACCCGCCCCCGGGCTGTGCCGGCACCCCTGTGGCCCGGGAACTGAGGGCCTTCGTGGAGGCCACCTTTCAGAGACAGTTTGTGCTCACGCTGAGTGAACTCAAGCGCCTCTTCAACCTGCACTTGGCCAGCCTGCCACCTGGTCACACGCTGTTCAGCGGCATCTCGGACCGCATGCTGCAGGACACGGTGCTGGCCGCCGGTTGCAAGCAAATACTGGTGCCTGTAAGTAGAGCCTGCGCCGGCCCGATGGGCGTACGAACGAGGCTGCCCTCCGGCCCTCAGGCGGCTCCTGGGTGGGCAGCGCTGCTCGTGGCTGAAAGGAGGCCGGTCCTGTCACTCTGGAGTGGCCTGCGCCCTGCTTGCCTTGGGGGCGTCGGCTTGGAGGCTGCCTGGGAACTCGGGAGGACCACTGACCTTGCTTTGAATTTTGGCTCTCATGTGGTGGCTTTGTGTGACCTTGGGCCTCTTAGGCTCTGCACCGTCGTGTGACGTGGGCAGATGTTGGCTTTGGTCTCCTGGGACTTGGGTGAGGGCCCCCTGAGATGTCTGAAGGCGCCAGGCCGCTACTTGGCCTAGAGTGGGGGCTGTCCGTGCAGGTTCCCTGGCCTGGTTTCCAGCCCCCACTCTGCCAGCACATCTTGTTCCTGTCGTGTTTTCAGGATGACTCCTTTTTTTTTTTGAGAGAGAGAGTTGGGGAGGGGGCAGAGTGAGAGAATGTCAAGCAGGCTCGGCACTGTCAGTGCAGGGCTCCATCCCACAAACCGTGAGATCGTGGCCTGAGCCGAAATCAAGAGTCAGACGCTTAACCGACTGAGCCACGCAGGCCTAGCCCCAAGCTGACTCCACTTCTGTTATCTTTTGATCTTCTTTGCAATTTGTAGGTATAGAAACTGAGTTTTAAAGAAGGGAAATGAGCTTGTCTCGTATACCAGGAAGTGATAGAGCTGGAATTTGAACCTCAGTTTAGTGGCTGCAGGGCTGAAATATTTTTTTTTGAGAGAGAGAGAGAGAACAAGAACATGAGTGGGGGAGGGACAGAGAGAGGGAGAGAGAATCCCCAGCAGGCTCCGCACTGTCAGCGCAGAGGCTGATGTGGGGCTTGAACCCACAAACCATGAGATCATGACCTGAGCTAAAATCGATAGTCGGGCACCTGATCAACTGAACCACCCAGGTGCCCCAGGGCTGAACTCTTTTCTGCTGTACTGGCTCGTGCGTGGGTTCTGGCAGGCCTTCCGGGCTAGAGGTTAGCTGGCCAGGCCAGCATGGTTAGCATTTCTGATGCCAGGCCTGCAGGTGGCAGCGTGACAACCCCCTCCCCCCACCCCGGGGCTTCCTGTCCCTGCATAGGAAGGGGCCCCGGAGTGGACGAAATGTAGGAGCAGAGCGTGTGTTGTGGACCATTTCCCTTAGCTGAGTGTGAGGAGTGTCAGTTGTGGCTTCAGGACGTGGTGCTGGTTATTCTCTCCTCTTAAGCTCTGCCCAGACTTGGCGCCAGACCGCGTGACGTGGGGCTGCGGCTGCCTCTTAAGAGATCGTTGACGTTTGCAGTCCTAGGTCAGAAGCACCTGCAGCCTTGGGTGATGAGGCAAAGGCCCAACTCTGTACTTGAGAAACAGAAACTAGCATGAGAGGCCTGAGATCCCATGCTGGCGGGCCATCCCAGGAGATCTGGCCCTCGTGTCTGGGAGCCTCCTTGGTGTGGTTTCCTCTGGAAGGTACCAGGGTTTGGGGGCCCTGCCCTATTTGGAGCACCCTTGCCCCCCCAGCAAAGGGGTCTAGGTAGCCCCGGGCCGTCTTGGGTGCTGTGTGGATGGGAGAGGGATGTGAGGCAGGCTGCTCTCAGGTACCCTTTCCCTATTTCTCCCTCTTAATGGGGCTGGGATCTCTGGGAGACCATGGCCCCTCTGCTGCTCCATCCATCTCCCTCCCCATGATCCTGATGTAGGGACCGTATATCGTAGTCTCCTCTGAGGAGGAAAAGACCTCAGATGTGTACACAAGGATGCTCAGGTCCAGGGAGCAGGAGGAGACTCGACTCACAGGCTTGAGTTTAATCCTGTTTCTACTATTAGACGTTCGACTGTGGACAGTGAGTAAACCTCTGCCCTGGAGCAGCTCCCTGCTCCCACCTCTCTGGTTTCCTGTGATCAAATGAGACTGTACGTGTCAGGGTCCCCCCGGGGCTTTATGTGGTGGTAGCCACCCCTGTTGTGTTGTCAGGGCTGGAAACCGGTCTACCGGGTGCCCTGAGCCTGGCCACCCTTTTCTTTGTCCCCCTTCAGACCCTGCTGAACCAAGTGGCACGGGTGCTTGGGAGCTGGGCAGGGTCCATAACCCACAAGGACACGGCCCTCGAGAGAGGGAATCCCCAGATCCTCCTAGGGGCTGTGGGGGTGGGAGTGCTTCTCAGGACCCATCTGCGCATGTATATTTAGGGTAGGAGGACACTGGGTGTCGGAGCAGAGCGGGGAGCTAATGCCAGGCTAACAGGACACACAGCAGAACTCCCTTCCCCACCTTGTCAACTGCATCCGGTGACTTGAGGCTGGGCCTGTCCCGCTCCCTCCCACTGACGCCCTAGTGAGTGGCAGGAGCTGGAACTGGAACCCACAGTCTCACAAGGGCGGCTCCGTCCCTGAATGGGGCTTGTGTGGGCTGGGAGGGGTGAGGGGCGGGTGGACCCACGTGGCAAAGACAAACTACTAATGCCTAGGCCTTGGTTAGTTTCCCCCACAGACCGCTGCATCCCCAGATGAGCAGAAGGTGTTCGCCCTCTGGGAGTCTGGAGACATGAGCGATCAGGTGAGGTGACCTCTGCTACAGTCTCCCCAAGAGCAGGGAGGGGGTGTGAGGCCTTCGGGGAGACCCAGAGTGCGGTAACACACGCTCGTTTTCCAGCCGCTTTCAAGTTTAAATATTCTGGCTCCGTGTCCCCGTGTAGTGTTAGGCCGGACGTGCCAGTCATTTGACCGGAACCCTTGGTCCCCTACTGCCATCTAGACTGGCTGCATCCAAGTCCTCTTCTAAAAAATCTCCATAGACTCCTAGGACCAACCCCCGAGACTTCGTTCAGTTCCAGAGGAACGGGGAAGGGTCCTAGGTATTTAAACTTCTACAAAGCTTTCCAGAGGATTCTGCCACCCAGCCTGTCTGGTGAACCAGTGACAGTCCACGTTTCTCAGGTGCTGGATTTCTAAGTTAGAGAAACTGGTCCATTTTGCCTCCTGTCACACCCTGGCAGGAAGGGTCATAAGTGTCTAGTGAACAAAATAGGAGTTAAAACAGCAGCAGTGGCTGCATGGACCCTGACGTCCAGAAATTTTCCTTCAGTCATGAACTCGCTTAACTTTAAGGATTTCAGAATAAACTGCTAAAACACTAGTTGGCCCTATTCCTAAGGTGTGGGGAGGAAGGGAGATCCCTCTTCTGCCTCAGAGGGGCTGCCGGACAGGCGAGGACAGACGGGAGGGCCTCTGTGCCCCAGGGCTGTGACGGGGCCCCGGAGCAAGAGCATCTGCAGGGGCTCTTCCTGAGCCAGCCTGTGTGCTCTTGGCCAGAATAGGTGGCATCTGAAGGGGTAGGAAATGAAAACAATTTCACAATTAATTTCAACCTGATGAGAAGATAAGTGCATTGAGACAAAGCTCTATGGGCAACAGTCTCCAGCCCTGTCTTCATGTAGCTTAGATGGTGACTTTCCCTGCATCCTAAATCCATTTTCACTTCTGTTTTGTGTCACGAAACACCACGTCTATACTGCCGATCCTCTGCTGGCGCTTGCCTGGTCCTTTCTTCTTCTTGGGGTCTCGGGACGACGGCTTGGTTGGGTGTATTCCTGTCTAGAGAAGTCCCGGCGCACACAGACTGCAGCGTGGAGTTCAGTCCCACGGCTCTGGATCTCTTGTTCAGGGAGGTTTCTCTTTTAGGTGACTGTTTCCCACAATAACATATTTTTGCTACTAAAGCACCGACAGGTTTTGCTTGAAATCTTTTCCAAAAATTACCGGGTCCGTCGGAACATGATCCAGTCGCGGCTGACTCAAGAGTGCGGAGAGGATCTGAGTAAACAGGAGGTGGACAAAGTGCTAAAGGTACACGTGCTCTGGGGAGCAGCGCCTGCGGTGGAGGCCGACGGGGTGGAAGTCCTCCCTGCCCCCCCCCCCGCCAGCTGTGGTCTCTGCAGCTGCTCACGGCTCGTCCAGCCGGGTCATCCCTTTAGGTGACAGGGCCTGAGTCCTGACTCCACTCCCCTCTTGAATCCTGTAGCATTTGGCTTTCAGTAGAATCAATTTTTAAATTTAAAAGGAAATATATAATTTATCATGTAGTATAAGCAAGTCCTTAAATATACTACTTATAATGCTTTTATGAATGGACTATGGTGCAGATACCATATTGGCAGAAACATTGGAACACAGAAAGCTGAGGACGGTTTCTTTACATCCTGATTTAGTATCTCAAACATCCAAGGCCGTCTATGGTGCTGTTTATGAAGCACCTTTGTTCTGGGTCAGCTTATTGACAGTTTTTTTTATCTTGTGCTTGCCGAGCATATTCTTTTGTGGTTCCCCCCCCCCCCCCCCCCCCCAGAGGAAGAGGGCCTGAGCCCCAAGCACTAAAGAGACCAGGCAGTTACCACAGCATCATCATCTCCCGTTTGTGTTCTATCCATTAATCATAAACCGAGTCGTGAGGAGCCGTACTGGCCGGAGTAGCTGCCTCGCCTGCTGAACACCCCTCTCTCGTCACAGGACTGCTGTGTGAGCTACGGTGGCATGTGGTACCTTAAAGGGACGGTACAGTCTTGACAGTAGTCACAGACCACTCACCCAGTGCGTCGAAGTCCCAGGAAGGACGGCGGAGCCAGCGGAGGTGGACGCAGCCTCACCTGCTTCCGAAGCCACGGAGCAAGAGGACCTGACCGTCCCGCGGCTGGGGTGTCGTGCTGTCTGGTGGCCAGCAGGGGTCACCCTCAGCCAGTGGCAGGGTCAGCTTCAGTTAGATCACTCCCAGAAGACGGCGGCCGGGACCTTCTTTACAGTAGAATTTGAAATCCCCAATGTATTTTGCTTATTATTTGGTTTCATTCTCCTAATAAAGAGAGTGTATACTGACCACAGGCAGGCTGATATAAATCATGGTTTAATATTTTACTTTTCAAACTTAATGCCAACGAGGTCTAAGTTATGTTTACAAGATGAAGAAAACCTCAAGGTTTTAAATATTTAAAATGTCTAGAAGCCAGTGTGTAGTTTTTGATTATCTGCTAAGACTTCTGCCAATTTCATTAAACAAACCAAATCAAATTGTTTTACTGTTGGGTTTCTGTGGCCACTTTACCTTTTAAAACGACTTAATGTAGCAGTCTCGACTGTTTACATGAACCATAGGAAAAATCAGAATCAAATCCATCTATTCTGTTTGCATAAGGATGCAAACAAAACCAGGTAAGTATGGAACGGTGTATAAGGTTATCACACTTTGATGTAAAAAATTTATATTTTGTGTATTTTTAAAATAAATGTAACACTAACCTGGCATCGTGGTGCTACTGTCTTCAAAGGGTCACAGGAAGGCAGTGCTGTCTGTGCTCTCAGGGCCTCGATTACAGCCATGGGAGGGAGCCCACCGTGGGCGTTGGGGTGGGGGGCGGGGGATGACCTGAGCAGCGCAGCCTGGCACAACCATGCAGCCATAGGTGTAACTTGTACATTTTGACAGTAAAGAGAAGCTAGTAGAAATGGGTTATTTAGCCCAAGATGTAGCTAAAACGGCAACGTATAATTAAAAATGTTAGTACAGGGGCGCCAGCTAAGTTGGTAAGCATCTGACTTTGGCTCAGATCATGATCTCACGGTTCGTGAGTTCGAGCGCTGTGTCAGGCAAGCTCTCAGCAGAGCCCACTTTGGATTCTGTGTCTCTGTCCCTCAAAAATAAACATCAAAAAAGTGATAATAAAAAGTACAAAAAAAAAAAAATACCACGTTTTCAAGATCTGGTACCTTATACTACGCCATTTGCAGTTTGGACCAGCCACAGTTTAAGTGCTCACTTGGGATGTGTCGCTAATGTCAACCTTATTGGATAGTACAGCCCTAGAGGATTAGGAAGAAAGTAAGAGTAAGCTGGCGTGGGCAAGATGTGAAATTTTACTACCTAAGTCTTTTTCCATGATCTGTTTTGGGCAAAAGAGCCACTGGTACCTGAAGGTTTAGTTGATGGTCTATGCATGCTCAACACCGAAAAGGAAAACATTTGGTAATGTAGTCTCACAGGACATTATGCTCTTGGTACTACTAACATGAGCCTGAAAAGAGTAAAAATTTCCAGAGTTGATCAAGAGTATGTCCAGTTATTGTATAACCACCTTACAAAGGAGAGACTCCTCATGGTGCACAGCAGAGACAGCATGACCACAGAGAAGGGTCTCAGGGCTCAGTGGGCAGTCATAGCCTGAAACACACTGACAAAGGGAAATGAGTTAAACACTGAATTCAAATAGGAAAGTAAACTTAAGGAATTTAGGAAAGAATTGTTAAAAACAAAAAAATTCGCTATAAGAATTAAAGATACACCAACATGAAGGAAAATGGCATGAGCCTTACAACTGCTTGGAAAGACCCTCCCCCACTCATGCTCTGTCCCTATGTAAAAAATAAACATTAAAAAAATTAAAAAAAAAAAA